CTAATTGGTATGCCACACTCCTCCTCTTGCTTTTTCTGCTTGTATTTTCCACAGTACGTGTCTGTGCACATGCAGGCTAAAACACACAGAGGCAGACTGGATGACAAAGCAGGAACAAAGAGGAAACACATGGCAGAGAAAGATGTTACCATGTGCATATGAATATGACTTCAAACATGGGCAACATGGCAGACCATACAGACTGTACAACCTCTGGAGGCAAAATTGTGATTTGTGATATTGGGCTTCACAAATAAAAATGCAAATGAATTGGCAAATTACAACAAGAATACCTTATTTTAATAATGGTTTACAGATACCTAGTACATTCATATATAGTAAGAAATGTATCATTTAAATGCACATTATTCTCTCAGTTCATTAATCATTTTGCATATAACACAGTTTCCGAGATTCCAAGGTGACGTCTTCTCCAACAGTCCAAACCCCAAGATATTCAATTTACTATTATGTAAGGTGACAAAAAGAAGCATCGATTCACATCTGAAAGCACAGACCCAACCATAACCATTTGTCATTGTTGCTTCAAATAATTAAAATATTTAAAACACGATCAAGAAGCTGCCAAATAATTTTCTGTCCATCAACCAATCAATGCAGTTCTAATGGTATTATAAAAGGACTTACTGCTAGTCCATCAGGACACCAAATATTCAATGTACAGTGAAAGGATGCTGACAAAAAAGCTAATTTTCACACAAGATGCTATAACCAGCATGTATTTTCACAAGATAAAATGTTTACTTTACTTATAAACTTATCATTTCGGCATCAAACAGCAAAACTAAACTGTCTCTAAACACTAAACAACAGCAATCCACAATTTAAAATAGATTCATTGAACAACCCCAAATTATGATTACAATGACCGATAAAAACATCCCACATACTATGCAGTTTAATATGATTTATTATAAAAGTCGACAATGGTCTACTAAGTGTTTATTCCATGCTGGTGATCCTATAAACACCGACACACAAACATAGTGCGAGTAAGAAAGGCATATAATGCTGTGTATCATCTGTCTGTTTCTAGTCTCTATGACCTGGCGTATCTTACTGTGATTACACCTACTAGAAGCTGCAGCATAATCACAAAATCATATACAGTAAGTTGGTGTGTACATGGGTCCTGTCTTGTGAATCTGCTGTGGTGTCGGTGGCGATGATGGCAATGTGTGGAAGTCGACGGAGGAGCAGCAGCACGTCTCACAGCAATCAGTCCCAGATATTACCCCGGTATGTGTCAGATATGCTCTCTGCCATGCCAGCCATCCGTGACTCCTTCTGTCATTAGATCTCAGAGGTCACGTCCACTCTGCCACCGCCACCATTGTTCCTGGGTCTGATTGCGGCCTAATGGCCTGCTCTCTCTACACTCCAATTAACCTTTTTATTGGCCACCTGCCAGCCAGCTGGAGATACATCGCTGGCCGTGCATGGTCGTGCATATGTGCAAGTAGAACCATAAACACAAAAGCTTAGAAGTTTTCAGTGCTTGTGCATGTATGCATCTGCACAGTGGTTGAGGCTCTATGAATTTCCATGGAAAAAGTGTGTCAGCGTGTGTATCTGTGCTTAAAATAGCTGACAGATTTCACCTGCTCCTGTCTTGAAGTAAAGCCTGCCAGAATTTAACATCCTTTCACGGCTGACCCAGGTAGATCTCTGTCTAATAGCAAAACACATCTGTGTGCAGGAACTAAACCAGTCCCTGCTGTATTGTAACCTGCCATAGTTGTAGTAACAGGTATTGATGAAGCACAGAGATGGATTGTCTGCTGTCCAACTATGTTTGAAAAGATGAAGATGCAAACATATGTGAGAACACCAGAGTTTACTCATTTCACACACATACATTAATACACAAGTAAACACAAACTCCTGTCCTGTCTTTCCATTATCTTTAGTGTATGCTGACAAGGCGTTGCCATGGTAACAAGGGGGTCAGGCAGAGTAAGCTATTGCATCCGCACACCAATAGTCTCCTATCAATATTAAGGTAATTTGTGTAAAGCCTGAAAATGTCTTAAGCATGGTTCAATATAACAAAGCATTTCATTTGTGCAGTGGACTGAGCACTTATTCCCCTTTGTGCTGCTGCTGGAACAAGGATATGAATCACAATATGTGATAGCCAAAGTTCAAATCCAGGGTTTTACAAATGTTACATTATTCATGTTTTGTTTTTACCTTAAATCCTAAGTTCCTCATTGGATCTTTGAAAGCAGAAGCTGGAGTCCAAGAATGTGTCACTTTCTCAGAGTCTCATCAAAGCAGGAGTCTAAGATATCACTTAAATACTTGGACCTTTTGTTTAGGCATTGACTGTATTATTTCTAAACACGAAATCACAGTGACAATACCGTATGCTTCTAAGCTTTGTTAAGAAATGTAGCATCTGAGACATTACACTGCACATGCAGTCACACAACTGACATCAGATTGACAAAAGAAAAATATTCCCAATCACTCCAATGGTAATAAACTGTCATCAACATGTTATTCAAAAGCCAATGACAAGAAAGAGAATCACAGCCAGATAATAACTTCACACAGGCACTCAGTATCCAAAAGGACAATACTCTACTATCCACAGTCAACAAGAGGCCACTCTTGAGTGTCTTAAAATCTGGCAGTGCATTGCTGAGCAGCAAGCACACAGTAGATGCATTCTGTGGCTCTCCCTGCTGCAAATTGAATTTCAGGGCACGACTTGAGTCAGAACATCTAATAATCCCACGTCACTTACTGTTTTCACACTGCATAAGGTCACTCTGTAGGACTTGTGATGAAAAAACAACAGACCATCTTACAAGCATTTATCCAGCAGTTCAGGTTCCAGCAAGGTGAGGGAACATACTGAAGTTAAAGTACAAATGGCTGAGCAATTCAAGGACAAACGAAGGGGGAAACAACTGGGGATGCAAATTTAAAGCTGTTTCCTTAATCAATAGTCATCTACATGAACAATCAATAACTCTCTGTTGTTAATTTATGAAATACAGAAGGCTTTATTCATAATAAAACAGTTTCTACCCTTTCGGATGACATGACCTATTTTTGCTGCAAAATCAGAGTAAGTTAGGAATTTAAAGACCTGCTTAAGTAAGCATGAAATTACTTGAAATATAAATATAAAACAATTTAACTTCAAAATGCTCAGCTTCCACCCCTGGTGTCTCTATTCAGTGAGTGGCCAGACAAAATCTCTAACATTATCAACTAAACATGAAACAGGTTACCACACTCACACCACAGCGGACTCCAGTCTTACAGCTGGCACAGATGTTCTAGGGATGAACAACCAGAGAGTAGAGTGGACTGGAATGGAGAGCAATGCTCTCCACTGTCTAACACTCAGCTCCCAGCCTGCATTAATTAACTAAGTGGCTGCTTGCGGCTTCTGTTAAAGATGCTAGTCTGGCATTAGCATGAGCCTCACTCAGCTAAACTGCATAGAAACTTTATGCTGCCATGCTCGTTAACACCACTGCCAGAGCGAGCACTGAAAGCCACGCTGCCACTAATTTTTTCATTTGATGGTAATGAAGTGTGTTCATTTTAAAATCTGTGCAGCCCATACAGCAAACACATGTACCTCCATATCAATGAGTAAGAGGCACCATGAACAGAGGCAGCAATTTTCTGACCACATGTCCTTGTCACCTACAGAAACTTCCATACATACAAATGTTATGCAGTTATTTGCAGCATCATTCTGGAGTAGAAAACATTTCAGAGTGATGGTTAAAGAAAAATATTTTATATTACATAATAGCGGTGTAATGAGATCTCACGATGTTAAAACATGACAATATTTCTCATCGAGGCAAAAGCTGTCTTGAGATATCAATACATAACAGAACCAGAGAAGCAGCCAGTAAGACAGGGTGTGACAGCAAAATGATGGTACATTTATATTAGTCCCGAAAAAATGCAACTCCCTGCTGTGTTTTAATGCACGGGGCCATGTTGGTCAGGGGGCTGAGGGGTTGTGTGTATGATATGGCCACATTGTGACAAGTCAACATGAGTGGCTTCATTCACATTTCCAGCCCGTGAGTTTTTGTTTTATTTTGGTTAGCCATGGTGCTAGCATAGCCTACTCTACTTTAACACCAATTCTACCACCAGTGTGTCGGCACCGATAGATAAAAAACACATCCAGTACTAATGAAAATACATGGCGTGTCATTATGGTGCATTAACTGTGGCCAAAATTCAACAGTGAATGCTCATGCTAACAAGGTAACCAAAAGATTCTTCTTCCCGTTGGCGTCCACGTCCCAATCATCTCCTGTAAGTGATTGGTTAATGCAGCATCTTTGCTGGATATTGTCAGTGTCCGGTGCAGCGTGTCAGGGTGAAAATAACATAGAAGGTCACACACAGCTTCAATTAGAGGTTAGAAGCTCATGCATAGTTCATGCACAATTATAAGGTCTGAAGAGACTCGTGTGAAATCACACAGGAGAGAAGCCAGTCAGTTGAGTTTGTGGCAAAACCTTTTACAGCATTTGCATGTTGTCCTGTTGTACTGCATTTGACCATTCATACTAAGAAAGCAGAACTGATGGACTTACAAGACGATTAGTTAAACACATTTCAAAAAGCACCTAGTGTATCGCATTTTGTGACTTTCAGTCAAATAAAAGACTATTTTTCCAGTCATATATTTCATCGTTGAAGATTTCTTAAAAATTGTGTTAAAATATCATCTCATCTCGTTCTCATGAACCCAATGCCGTGTATTGTCTAGTCTCATGAGCTAAATGTATCATCACACTCTTATTATAATGTATTTTCTACCTTTGCAAAGTTTATCTCAACCCTTCTCATAATTTGGTGGGTAAATTTTGAGTTGTCGAAACAATTAAAATTTAAATTACAACTACAATTACAACTGTATTCACCCATAGCGGTCAGGGAGTACATCATATTCAGATAACTAGGTTGATAAATCCAACATCCCTTACCTGCTACAGAGAGGCGGGCCGTGCGACTGGAAATGGATCCCAGGTTGTCAATTGTGGCAACGCACTGATAGGTGCCCTCGTCAGGCTTATTGTGCTTAGAGTGGATCACATGGGTGAAGAACAGTGCACCATCAGGAAGAATCTGTCGTCGCTCGTCTGAAACCAGGCTCAAGAAGGTGCCGTCTTTCTTCCACTCTATTCGTGCTGGTGTGGCTGCGTCGCTGTGGGCTGAGCAGTTAAGAACTGCCATGTTACCCCGAATAGCCAGCATGTCCTGGGGCTCAACTGTGAACCAGAAGGGGCTGAAGGGCTGTGCTGCTGATCCTAGAGGGTAAAGAGGGACAACAGAGATCTTAGCTGGATGCCCCACACACATGCTATGTCATATTTTAAAAAAAGGACAAAGCTTGAGCAGCATCAAGCAATAAATAAAATTAAATTCTTGTAAATGTCAAACAACTAATCTGTTCCATGGTCACTGCATCTGATGCCAAGGTTGATGTTATTTAATTCCAGCAGTGGAATTTATCTGTAAATATAAATCTAAAGCTGGCTGCAGATGCTGTCATGTGAAAAGCTTCATCAAGACTTGCTGTGATGTATTACTAACCATAACACTCACTGCTCAGGTGTGTGCAAATTACTTTTAAAAGGAAGATTTTTTTTCCACTCATTCTGCAGCAGAGGATCCAAAAATGTGTGAAATGCTGACTATCATTCTGGAATACATGAGACTACTCGCTGCTATTAAAGTTTAACAACTGCAAAATCACATTTTGTCATCAACTTCAGCGGCACATTTTAAAACTCACTCACACAAAATGTTCTGATGGATGAAAGAAAAGGACATGGTGGGACTCAAAATGCCCCAAACACTCACTGATGTGTTCTCAAAGCTTCATTCTTTCTTTCATTCATTCCATCTTTTCAGCCACTGAGCCTCAGTCTGTCCCAGAGACTCCAAGAGCCTTTTCATTTTGAAACCACAGGCCCCAATGGAATTGGACGAGAGGAACTGACAAATTTAACCCAGTCTAGCCTCCCTGGCAAGTTAATATCACGTCTTGCTTTATTATAACTAGAGAGTGCAGCAGACGAGTAAACACTTTGGAACATGGCTGTAATTTCCTTTCCTCGAGCATAAATGGCAACACCGCACTGACATGTATAGAGCCAAAGTCAGAGTAAGTGCAATCGCTTTGCATTTGTCCTCATCCATTATTCAAGCACTCCCACCCTAAGAGTCACACAGTGGTATTGTTTAGATAA